AAATTGGTACAAATAAGTGGCATGACAAGATTGCAGTGGCGAAGGTAATGGTTACCAAATAATTAAATGAGTCGGCGGGTGGATGGAAGGATGACCACACTCCTGGCGACCGAAGCTGGACGCACGATGCAAAAGACTAAGCAATTAGGATTACTACCAATTTGAGCATAGTGAATGCCACAGTTACATCTTTACATAAAAGCAAAGTAAAGGAGAACTTTCAATCCAATTGGTTGCTATGGCGCCACACCAATCCCCACGGCCTCCTTTTTGCGTAGATGACTTCAACTTATGAAGTAATTGCGAACCAGATGATGAAACATTTTAATCATCCTCTATTTGGGTAGAAGACAAAATTGACAAGTGTAATCGGCTTATAGGTCGATCAACTATTTTAAAGGTGCGAAAGTTCACTCAGATTAGAGCTAACAAGATGACAACTTCATCCCAAGTAACCCAATATGAATGCTTAATGAACTTTCTGTTGATTTTAGACCAGCAGTGGGAATTAACAATCAGGGATTTTAACTTTTGATTCAACAAATACTTGCTCAAAAGGATTTATCCAAATTCTCCATCAGTTTTTGGTTTCGTGTCATGAGCCTAACAGAAATATTCAGTGACTTCAAGACATTGACATAATATGAAAAACTTGGTATTTCTTTATTTTATATCCGAAGCCAATGGATAAGCAGATGGAAGATGATAGCAGGATGCAAAGGGAGTAGAATCCTTAAAAAATAAAATCAAAAACAATGGGGGGAAGGAAATAGAAAGCCGGAAATATATGCACATCTGAATGTGGAAAAGTAGAATAGAAGACAGAGTTTGGCTTTTGCGATATCATGAGATAAAGGCTTACTTTAAATGTATTAAATCCCATTGGGAGGTGAAAAAGTACAGGGGCCAATCGTAATAAGCTTTCAAAAGGGGGAAGAAATGAGCAAGAAAAGAAGGTAGATAGGCGCACACCCAAAGACCGGAGACACTTCAACTTGTGGTCACTTCTAATCGATGCATTTGGTTAGGTGCTAATTAGCATTCACAACTTTGGCGGTGTTGTCATGACAACGCGCATAAACTGAGCTGCACACATCAACACCAACGGCAACAAATTTCTCGTATTAGCCTCTTTTCTAGCGAGAAGTGAATGAAAAATTCTAATAGTTCACCATAAAACCAATGCTTCCTGGAAGGCATTATCCGATCATTAGCTCCTCCTATTGCCCCTCTGACCCCTTTCATCTGCAGAAATGCTCAATTTTTAAGTTCTTCAGATTTTTGGCTTACTAATGGATAAAAAAAGCAACCAACAAAGGTAAAAGGTGTGATCATGTGTTTCCATTAGCTAAGTAAGAATAGCTGAGGGCACGCGAATTTCAAAGGACTTGAAACAAACAGGTAGTGTTGAGGAGTTAAACCCTACTAAGGCGCCAATAAACTGGGCAAATTTGACGGCAAATGAATTTAGGCAACAAGTGTCATTCGTTATCCAAAAGTGTATCAGATAAGTAAGATCAAATAGTAAATGGAACAAGTGTAAAGGAAATTACCGTTAAAAAGTAACGAAACTGTTCCCCGTCCTTCAAATCAATCACAAATCAAACCACCACTACAAAAGTGTGCACAAGAGAATGACGTCACTTCACCTGTGAGTGTATGTGTGCAAACAGTGCATTAAGCAGACTAAACAAGAGGCGAATGAAGAGCTCATTTACGAAGCCTAACAGATCAATATAGTGGTAGACATAATATAACCCACTTATTTCCTCAAATTTGGTAAACTTCCTGAGAGTGGAACATGTTTTTACCATGTCATCAATCTCCTTGACATCCTCTTCTGATAATTCATACAATCCATCGTCCGAACCGGAGGAAGGAACAGCCGCCTGTCTCTGATCCTCATGTCGTCGACTGGTTGAGGTGGAAGAAGTAGTATTGTTGTTTAGACTGCTGGTGCTAGCAACACCGCTGCCACCATGATGACCAACATTGGGCATAACAGAGGCCTGGGAGACAGTTTTAATCGTGTATCCCATCTCCGAAGCAGGTGGATAGGTAGGGATACTATCCGAACGCACCGACAACATTGAATCCGTGGACATTGTGGACTCACTAGCCGGTCCACCATCCACATAGCCGGTAGGATCAGCTGTAGAAGGTGCTATGGTAGTAGCAGAAGCGGAAGGAGGATGAGTAACAGACTGAAGGAAAAATGATCCATTTTCCGAGCCACGAGGACAACTAGTGGGGGAAGAGACAGGGATAGGATTGAGGTAGGCTGTCATTGGAAGAGCAGCTGCAGAAGTTACAGGAACTTGTTGCTGTGGATGCTGCTGTGTTACTTGTGGACAGCCAGAAACAGCCCAATAGGGATCACCGGCATGATATCGGACAGGTTGGGACTGGGCCGAAAAAGCAGGATAGTAGGGATTTTTTGAAAGAACTATAACTCCGGATTGGGGAGCCATGGAGGGTAGAGGCACACTGGTGGTTTCGGGATGAATGTAGCTAGGTTGGGAAAAATTAGGATCTTCTGTCAAATCGTAGGCCACTGCAAGAGCAGCTCCCAGACCCAAGCTGCTAGCGGAAGTCTCATTTGCTTTTTGCGGTTCCGTCATAGATTCCATTTAGTGGTCTAAAAATGCGCATAGATACCTGCAAACATCATTTTCACCCACACTGAATGCAATGAGTTGAGTTAATTTCGGCCCAAAATAGGAGCAACAATGCCCTTGATTTCATACAGTTAAGTGAAATTATCAAAGGAGAATAGTCAATTGCAAAGCATGGTAAAGAATTGACAGATAAAGCCAAAACAGTTCTAATAAAACAAAAATAGTCGATTTTTGAATATGCTTTACTTGAATTAGTCCTGGACGAGGAACATGTACACTGCGTATCTGGGTGCGGCAGAGATTTACCACCTGGTAATAAAAGTACTGATTTCTAATTGGCCGGTAATTATAAACAATAAGTCTTCAAGGTCGAATTCATTTAGTATATTCTAAAATCATTTACATATTTAAGTGATTAGAGGGCGGTTGTGGCTATAAGAGATAAAAACCTAAGTATTTAAATTAATTTTTGTAGTGAAGCATAGCCTTACAGCGAAAAAGCTTTGTAATCTTTATCTGCCTACCTTAATGCATTGTTATATCCAAATACACAAAACTAGGAACTTTATGTAAGCCATTGTCGCGTTGAGACTCTCCACAGGGTTAAAGAAGGCAGTAAGGGTGGTCGGATATATGTATTTCAAGGGGAACAAAACAACTAGGCCTGAGCGTGGCCCGAACGGCAGCTCACGAGTACAACGGCCAGACAAATCCTAAAGTGACCGCCTAACGTCAGGTAGCTACATAAACAAAGCACTATATCTGACCTCCTAACGTTCGGCGGTCACTCTAGAATTTGTCTGGTCCTTGTACTGGTGAGCTGGCCTCCGGGCCATGCTCAGACCCATCTGCTCTGTTCCCTTCGGAATACATGCATCCAGCCTCACTGCCTTCTTCCACCCTATGGGAAGTGTCGGAGTGCTATAACTGGCACCCGCAACTTAAAATATATAATCAATGTAGTGTCTTGAGACTTTCCGTTGAGTGGAAAAAGACAGTGAGTGAGGCTGGGTACATGTATTCCGAAGAGAGCATATCAAATAGATCTGAGCATGGCCCGAATGCTAGCCAATCCTAAAGTCACAGTCAAATGTCACGTGGTCACATAAACAAAGTATCACAGTCAATTCTGCTATTTTCCACTAATGTCATATATAATAGTGCAAGGATTAAAATGTTCAAGATATATTTGGTCCGTACAGCATTACTCCAACACCTACGCTAAGCCTTCGGGACTTAACACTTTTTGATGAGATCATGCAAATGCACTTTTGGCAACATGTAGGTGACTAGTCAAACTGGAGACAATGTTGTGACGTATTCATTGACCTCCTGCAAAACAGTCTCCTGACGATTCTTTAGACTTCAGGATTCGTGAAAAAAATGTCCGATTTTGCCGCTGGAGCTAGTTGTCTACGTGATGGGCGTGGAGGTGGTTCAAAGGGAGAAACTTGTAACAACGACGGCGTTGGACGAATTAAAGGCACTTGTGCAAGGAGATTACGTGCGTAATTCGTATTCAGAAGTCCAGCTTCGAATAGAGCTGTTGAAAGGCGTGTTCGGTAATCACGTTGTAATTGGGTTTCAGTAAAAGTGGAGATGGATGAAAGAGTCGTGTTTGAGAATTTCAACAGGTTTTGAGTCTGCGACCTCTCCTTCCTGAGAACCGATGATTCCAAACGATGACGCCAGGCCTAAAGACAAAAGAACATGGATACGACCTCCAATCAAAGGTAGCCCGATTAGTTTCATGTTGGGTGTGGCGAATCCGCCGACTCAGAGCCTGGCCGCACAATCTCTATCGACCACTAAAAGTGACATCTCAATGTTTGGCATCGCTGGCTTGAAAAGGTAGGCAGTGTCTTTATAGCAATCTGTCAATGATTGTGCGGTGAGGATGGTTGGTAAGGTGTTGTGGAGCAGTTGTCATCACTTTGGGCGAGGAGAGCCCGATCTGTCTTCAAGTCAGTGCTGACTCTGCTTACCCTTGGATGCCGGATGAGTGTGTCTTCTCTGATGTCGCAGGAGGTGGAGGTGGTGTATTTAGGCGCACTTGGAGTGACCCGATGCAAGTGGGTGAGATGAGATGCACTTCGTCACTGTAATCGTTGACATAGTCTCCTTCAGCCCTAAGGTCTCACCTTTTCGAGCACGAAAGGGCTGACACGTGATTGCAGCATTCTCTCCTCTGGTGAGGCAAATGTGTGTGTGTGTGCACACGGAGGGGGCGAGGGAGGCGGGGTGGGAGCAACAGCGACTGGGGTGATTGTGAAGGTGGGATTGTAGGTTGTGGGGTGTGGTTTCACAGCGACCATAAAAGGTGCGGTGATGTGGGG